CTTCTCCGCGATAAGCACGACGCTTGGCACACGAGACGCTCGTTTGGGTGTCTCCTCATGTCTCTGGAAGGAGTCTCTTCTCTCCTTGGCATCCGCCTCCCCCGCCGGCTGGTGACGCTCTCCTCTTCAGAGACTTCGAACCGGCTTCTAAGATCGATGTCGCTGCGCTCCCTTGGGTGGGCCATGAGGGAGTATTCACAAACCGATTCTGCTTCGCCGAGCTCGCCTTGTCCTTCCTTTTCTGTCGTGCGCAAGGCTTGGCTGCCAAAATTCCCCTTTTGCGCATGTTCTATACACAGCTGAAGCTTCCTCAACTCCGCTTGTAGCTCTTCTCTGGTCAATCCTTTCGTCGAATTCCCCCGTGAGTAACATTCCTCCGCGCGGTGCCCCCGCTTCCCACACCGCTCACAAGCTAGCGCCTTGGGGCAGTCCTGCTTGAGGTTCCCTTGCTCCCCACACGTGTCGCGGCGCTGCAGATCTGCCCTCTCTCTGGATCCCCTCTCTTGTTTCGGCATTGCCGCCACTGCCCAGCTGCGTTTAGACTTGGGAGGGCCGTCACTGTCTTCCAGATACTAGTAAGCGTTGTGCGTATTCCGTGCACTTCGCTATCCCGTACTCCTTCAGCGTAATGTCCACCCTGACTTTGTACATGGTGGTGCGCACCACCACCCTCAGCTCACCTTCCAGACCCCTTACAAACTTCTGCACCAGCAGCCGCTCGTCGTGCTTTTCCAGGTCCCCTGCTTATTCTCTGAAATGATTGTAGTGAGACAGCAGCGTATCTTCCTTCCGCCAACGAAACTCTTTGAACTTATCCATCCGCGCCTTGCTCTGCCCCACGAATTCCTTCCTCAGTAGACAGATGAACCAATTTGTGGGGTTGTTAGTCTTCCCCTCGCCTAGCTCCTCCAAGATTTCTTCGTGCACCATCATGTAGAACGTCTCCGCTTCCCCCGTGAGAGTAGCCACCATCTTCTGGAAGGAACTCTTGTGGGTCGAAGCCGTCACGTTCCCAATAGTATTGCACGGTTTCCAACTGCATAAGATAGTTTTTGAGTGACGGTCCCAGACCTGGCACTCCCGTATAGCGTTCTGCTACCAACCTCCACCTTTGTTAGCGATGCGGAGTTCCACCTTCTTGCCGGCGACAGCTCCGAAGCTCCATCTCCTGGCAGCTCTAGCGGTGCTTTACTCGATTGCCGACCCGTGTCTTCTTCCTTCGCACTGTTGCTAGCTTGTCTCTATAGCCTCTGCGGCTCACATAGCAAATTTCTCATTTTCGGCATGAATGGCGGCTATTCTTCCCTCGGCTGTGCCTTCCATCGCTCTCTAGCTTCCCTCGCCCACCGTACATCGTGCAGCCCAAGGTCATCACAAGAGAATTAGAGTAGGTAAAAACCATGTAGGAGTGAATGAGGAGGAGAAAAAGGAAGGTCTCCAGAGTCTCCAACCAAGAAAACCCCATAAGTACCCCCCCCCCCCCCCCCCCCTTTATAGGAACCCAACTTTGGCATTCGTCTCTTTCCCCACCCATGCAATCCACCTCATCCCAACTTAGCCACACTTGCCAACCTGGTTTGGCTTCTCCCAACCATTTGGCAGCAATCTACAGTAGAGTGAAGAATTTTCCAAACCCCCAATGGTCCTTACTCCATATAGAGTCATTCAACAGTTCCCCACTGTCGCCGCAACGATATAGCAAATCATACGAACTTTGATCGCTCGTAGCTTTCTCATTCGTGCTTCGATTGAAGCAATCCTTGATTCGTCAAAAAGCTTTTGAGCAGAGAAGTCATTTCAGATGTTTTCTCAGACAAAACAGAATCCACACACACTCACAACATCCAAACCACGCCAAACGCAACTTCTTATGCCCGCGCACACCACGTATGCAAGGTAGAAAGGTAGGATGGGAGGCAGACAGACGTGAATGCATATGGTAGAATCACACAACAACACCGACGCGTGCGAGGCGCGCATGCCACATATCCGCCTTAGATCGCATGCTCGTTGTCAAAGTACGAAAAGCCACTGTTTCACCTACCTGCTGTTGCATCGACCATGGCTGGAAATTCGTGCAGAGAACATGCCCCTTGAACTTCTCACAACCGAGAAGCAATCCATCTGGTGCCCGTAGAAGTGTCACGTTCCCTGCATCCAGCAGCTGCACGCCACTATCCCACAGCTGACCAGCAGAGAGGAGACTCGTCTGCACTCCAGTTACATACACCATATCCGACACCGACACCCGCCTACCCCCCTCTCAGTGGGGTAGTCAAACGAGACAAGACTTGCTACGGCGAGGAATGAAAGGGGTTGTTGCAAAGAGTGAAATGAGAAATGTTACTGCGCATTCCTGCCAGTAGCAAGAACGAAGAACTCAGAAAAGGGAACTAACGAAGGGTCGAGTCTACACAAACAGTTGCAAAGCGTCCGAACCGTCGGAAGCAGACAACATTGGGCAGCAGCAGGAGCAAGGAAATGGCGGGAATAGTTTCTATAGCTGTGCGCGCCGCACGGTTGGGTTTGAATTTGAGTAATGGAAGGTACCCTTAGTGTACACGGCTAGCTAGGACGTTTCGTGTTTCCTTGGACTCTTATTTATACGAATGTATTTACATGTTTTTATGATCACAGTCATTTTACATTCACTCTTATCTGAGGTCACTTTCTTCTGCTGCAACATTCTGATTCTCCGAACCTTCCTGAGGTGATCCTAGGCATAATCTACCTTCTAATCGCAACATAGAGCAATAGTCAGGTTACTTTAGAAAAACCTGGAAAAACGATTATAATAAGGGAATGTACCCCTTAGAGTACATGGCTGGTTGGATATGTTTATTGTGGATAATTTGATCTTTTAATAAATCTTGTAATTTACATTCACTACGTATAAGGTTTCTACCACAAAGACTTTCGCTATCAATTTCTCTAAGGTGACCTATCATGTTCGAGATCCTTATCTTAACATGGTATGAGAGTTAGTTTGGATTTTAGGAACTGCCAAAAATTTCATCGTTCAAGACGACGATCGTTATTATAAATTATCCTTACATTCAGGGCAAGCATCATGCCAGGCGCAGACTGCAAAGAAATTGGAGAAAACACAGTCCATCCAACTTCCAATGTTACCTCAGGAGTGACATCAGTGGATCCAGTGCTCATCGAGCAGGTGACTACCTGCATGAACGCCTTGGAGAGCCATCATCAGTTGATGAGCATTGATGGCTCCAGGTATGCCCGCAGACCTTCCGATCACTCCGAGCGATCGTTTACCTTCGACAATCACGGATTTCAAGGACATGCACAAGCACAATAGCAAACGCATTACGCAGCAATGGCGTAAACTACATAGCAAGTTCCTATCAACCTCCAAGCTCAGAACGTCAACACTTTTCGACGGGAAGGTTTTTTATACCTGGAGCTTCAAATTCGAGCTCCGAGAACAAAGCGCGCAAATCTGGATGTATTGCGAAAGATCATTACCTTTCCCGACCAATGGCTCACCTCAGAAAAAGATGCAGTACTACAATGAGTCGCTCCTCGCTTACACAATCTTGATCCGAAACATGTCACCCGCAGACCAGCTCAGCATTCGCTTGTTCAAGAACGAGCGGGCGCACATACAACAGTCCTGGGAGCACCTGCGCACATGCTACATGACAGTCGATTCAGTGACACCCAATTGCCTGCTAAGCCAACTGAACCACGTCAGAATATTCCCTGGAGAGAAGGCATGGGCATACATTAATTGCTGCAGAAATATGAGGGATCAGAAAAAGAAAAGCGGCGAAAACTTCCCCAACCATATATTCATCACCATCATCCTTGCTGGCCTGAGTCCAGAGTGGCGCCACTGCAAGTCGCTTCTTTGCACCCAAGGAATGCTCAGCAAAACTTCACTTTGCGCCTCCCTCCTCACCAAGCAACAGGAGATTGACCTGTACAGTGAGAGAGGCAACAAGAAAGAAATGATTGCGTTCTACAGAAGCTGCAAGTATTGCAAGAAGATTGGGCACATGATTAAGGAGTATTGGAAGCTGAACGGTAATAACAACCATGGACAAAGGCAGCAAGAAGGAGCGCCTTACCAGCAGCCTGCTGGACCACCAATGCGCAACTAGATCGTGTTCTCGCCCACCGTCGCCAGCACTTCTCAGGCTCTGGCGCGCATTTTTGCAAGCAATGAAGGAAACAACACGGTGTTAACGTGCATGGTGCGACACGGACCATCTCAAATCAATCACGATTACCGATTCTTCTGCAGTTGGGAAGACATGTTCGTGGACCCACCTGGATGAAGACCAGAAGGCTTAGTCGAAGAAGTGGAAGAAAACGATCCGACGTACGACGAGCTTACGGCCGCACGCATTCTATACGACTGGGAGGCACCTTAATGGATTGTTGAGCACAGATTCTATACGTTGCATAATTCACCCTTAGTTGATTTCGCGTTCGATCTCGGTCGTTGAGAAAAAACTCACTATTACGCTCCGAATTCCAACCTTTTGGGAAAAAATCTTTGGGCCGTTGAGATGCGATTTGATCAGACGGTCGAAATTTCAATTGTTTTCTCCAATTAACCTGAGGCGCGTTCAAAAACGAGATTGAGGGGGACGTTACAAAATTGTGCGGGATTGGTTTATGTATCCGAAGTTGGCGGTTTCCATTGTCACCCCTGCGGTTTTTAAAGGCTAGGTTTTAGTGGTTGAAGACTTCGCGTAAAAACGAGCTCTGATTACCACATGTAAGGATCGATAGGGATCAAGTTAAAAATGAGCGAATTAATTGATTGTTTCACCTGGGTACAACAGGAGGCTATATATAGGATTGACTCGACACAATGCCTAGTAACCAGGTGTTACGCAAAGGCTCCGAGGGTTGCACAGTGTCCCAAATGGAGCCTCCCCGAACTCGGTAGAAGGTGTTCGGGGGGAACCGAATAGTATTGAGTTTGGTGTTCGTATCCTAGTTCGGTCAGTGAATATCCTAGTTTGGTC